TGGCGTCTACTGGAGCATGCCTCCCTTCTTAGCTGGAGCAGACAGCTTGGGCCAAAGCTAGCTTTCCTACTCTGCAAGCTGGGGTTCACAGGGGAGGTGCAAAGCATCCTGGGATGCTGGGAGACAGCGAGTAACTTGAATAAGGAGGGGATCTGGGACAGAAGTTCAATAAACCAATTGAACCTTAATCAGTTAAGTCTGATACTACATCCATCCAGGTTTACCTTAAACCAGTTTCATTTTGCATTTTGAAAGCAGTTTATGTGCAGTGAACTTCTGCTGTGTTACAGATTTGAACTGGTTTCTGGCCACTTATATCATTGTATGTGTAAATTCTGTCCCTACACTAAGAAACTGGACTGCCCTGAGACAGATCTGTCAGGAAATTATCACACTTACTCCCTTCCAAAGATTATGTAGATACCCAGCCAAGGGGTGCACCTGAGAGAGTATGTTTCAGTGATCCACAATTTCTGTTGTGCTGCTTTCACACAGGAGTGAGAAAAGTCCATTCAAGATTAGACAGTGTGAATTGGCTTTCCACAATGTAACAATTCTACCGGTAGAGAACTGAGGCTATGATCTTGGCTCTCTCCGCCCATTGCTCCCTATTTTCAGCTTGGTCTGGCAGAGGCATGGAGTCCCTGCTTTATTCAGATCATGCTATTGTGAGAGGCCCCTGAGCAACTGTGAAGGGATTTGGGAGGGGTGTGGGGGGAAGTCTCTGTTCTGCACAGCTGTGCAGGATCTGATCAATCTAGCCTCAGACTATTGCGCATGACTGACAGGCCACCTGGATGTGGTTTGCATAGATAAGGTAGGGCACTTGTTATTTTTTTAACTTGTTTGCAGCTGCTTCTAGGGGTGCCCAATCTAGACTCTCCCATGCAAACATAAACCCAAAGAATATAAAAGAGAGCTGCCACCTCACCAGTGCCCTGTACCTTGGGTTAATATTATGTAAGAGATGAAGGGAAATTAGGAGCTCCTCTGATGATTGGTACTACTAATAATACTAACAGTCAGTTATCAACAATACAGTGATAGGGTAAAAAGAATGAAGATTTCAAGAGCCAAGGGTAGAAAAGGTGCTGAGATAGTATTCATGTGCAAGAAAGGAAGGGAAGAGCAGTCAAGGGAAAAAGAGGAAGAAGAGGACAGGTAATAAGGAATATGACTTGATAGACAAAAGTAGGCAGTGAGATTTTTTTTTTTTGGTTTCTTTTAAAATACATTTGTCGCATTAACCACAGCTAAAAATACCCCAATATCTTCTAAAGATTCCTTTACCATGTAACCAATAAGTGTAGATGAGTCGGGGTGGATGCTCATGAATGAGAGAGGAGCTAGCTCTCGAGGCACAATGTTTATCAAAACACCATGAGAAGAAAATGACAATCCCTGAAAAAGCAAGGTAGTAATACTTCCACTAGTAATGGGTGAAAAGGAAAGTGCTGTAGATAGAGGTTGGTGAAATAATATTTTGTAGGTTGTGGAGCTTGTGAATTAAAGCAAAACGTTGCATTTTATAGATCAGCAGAACTAAAGTTTTCTTAGCTTATGGTTGCTTTTCCAAAAGACATTCTGACTATTCTGGAATACATTCATTCAATACTACCAGTAATTTGTTTTGAACAAATTTTCTCAGTTATACTAACTGGTGTATCAGCCCCTCAGGAGAGAGGAATATTGCAATAGAGCCTGGGGTAATAGCTAGGGTATAAAATTGACCACAAAGAGCTCTGAGTTTTGGTTATGACACTGGTATGCTATTACTCTGATCACTTACCCACTCTGAGCCTTGATTACTCTATATGTAAAATGGTAATATTAAAATTTATAAGAATGTTATAGAGTGTAACTAGTGTTTGGGAAACGACTTTAAAACCTGGAATGAAAGGTACTATATAATGGCCCCCCACCCCATTCTCCCCCTAAATGCCACAAAATATTTTCAAAATAAGGATCAGACAGACAGAAAGAACCTAAACAATCTAGTTTTCATGTACTGAGTTATTCATGTACCAAAAGCTCTCTTAATATTAGCATTATCTGAAGTGAGTTCATTTGTAAAGAATGGAATGGTGAAATGCATTATGATATTTTATCTGAATCATTAATAGCTAATTTGGAAGCATACTCTGTCAAGTAACAGACTGCTTAATACTGCCATACATTTTAAGTCATTTGTGTTTTAATACATGGGTGAGGTGAAACAAAGGTTTCTCTAGATTCCTGGGATATGATGCTTATACTTTATGCCAGGCTATAAAATGTAGTGAATAGGCCCTGTTCTTCTGTACATGTAGAAAACTATTAGAAGTGAATGGGGGGATTTTTTGTGTTAAAGATTCCCTGGAGAGGGAAGTATTCATGATTCTTAATTCATCTGAAGTTCTCTTTTTTCCCTCTGTCCCTTTCTAGTAAAGATTTAGGTTTGACATACATTCTGCTGGATACTGGGTTCACATACACAGGTTTTTCTCCTCTTTCTGCCTTACTATAGTTCCGTACAAAAAAATTATAATGTGTGCTAGATATTTTGAGCAGTCATAAAGTACACATAATGTACCTTTTAAACTATTATTTATTATCTGTATTACTGGACTGTTTACTTTTCTTTAATTTACTAGAATTTTTTTCTTGACCCAATTTCTTTCCTGACTTAGTCTTACAGACTTCAGTGAATGGTAACTCTAAACAGTTCAAACCATTTTTTTATTCTTTATCATGAATTAGATATGTTATTACATTTGATGATATAGCTTAAAATTATGTGGAACATGTAATCTTTTCTTTGTCAACATTGTGACCATCTTCAAGTCAGTGTGTGGCAACTACTGAGGCATTGCCCTCCTTTCCATCACTGGGAAGATTTTTACTCGCATCCTTCTGAATTGCCTCCTTGCCCTTGCCAGAGATGTTCTTCCAGAATCCCATTGTGGCTTTAGACCATCATGGGGTACCACCAACATGACTGTTGTAGCACACCCGATTCAGGAAAAATGTAGAGAGCAACAACGGGAGCTGTTTACAGCATTCATTGGCCTAACCGAGGCCTTCGACTCCATCAGATGTGAAGCCTTATGGAAGGTGCTGGCTAGGTTTGGTTGTCTACTGAAGTTCATCAGCATACTCAGACTACTCCGTGATGGGATGACCACCACAGTCCTTTGCAATGGATCAGAGACAGACCCATTTACCATCCATACTGGTGTCAAGCAGGGCTGTATCATCACTCCAACCCTTTTCTCCATCTATCTTGCTGTGATTTTGATTCTCATCTGTAACCGCCTTCCTCTCAGAATTGGTGTTAAGTATTGAATGGACAGTCACCTTTTCAACCTGTGGTGCCTTCACAGCAAAACAAAAGTTAGCAAGGTTGGTATCATAGACCTTCAGTATGCTGACCACTGTGTTATCCTCGCACACACTGAGACCAATCTGTAGTCCACCCTTGACCTTTTCTCAGGTGCCTATCATAGCCTGGGACTCTCTCTTAATACTGGGAAGACAAAGGTGCTCCATCAGCCTGCCTCAGCACAAGCTTCTCCCCCCACCCCCACAAATTACCATTGGTAGAGAACCCCTTGAAAACATCAAGCATTTCTCATGCCTAGGCAGCCGTCTCTCCCCATTAGTCAGTCTTGATGCAGAAATTGAACATAGGATTTGCTGTTCCAGTGTGTACCTCAGAAAGCTGCTTTTCCTTGTCTTTGCCAACTGAGATCTGTAGTTGGAAACTAAAATCCTGGTCTACAACACAGTGGTTATCCCCATGCTCCTCTACAGGTGTGAAATGTGGGTGACATGTCAAAGCCATCTTAAGCTCCTGGAACTGTTCCATCAGCATTGCCTCAGGAAAATTTTTTGCATTAGATGGGAAGACCACTGCACCAATGCCAGCACCCTCTCTACAGGTAAGATAACCAGCATTGAGGCAAAGATCATGAAACATCAACTCCACTGGTCTGGCCACTGTGTAAGGATGGCTGACACTCATCTCCTGAAGCAAGTCATCTCCTCTCAACTCAGTCATGGAAAGAGGAATGACAAGACAGAGAAAGCACTACATGGACATCCTGAAAGCATATTTTAAGGGTGTCATCAACTTTACAAACTGGGAAGTGCTTGTTTGTAACGGGTTTCAATGGCATTTCACCATACATCAAGCTACAGCCCACTTCAAAGAGAAGTGTTGCTCAGAAAGCCAAGAAATGACACAGGAGGAAGGAAAGTGCACAACATCCTGGCCAACAGCTGCTCCCCTCCTCCCCACTCCTGCCCCTCCCGAGGCACCATCTGTCATATCCATGGAAAAACTTGCAGAGCACAGATTAGACTCTTCAGCCATTTTAAGACTCACCAATAATGTCCCTTGTCCCCCCCCCCCAGCAGACATCATCCTCATATTGAAGGATAGCCAAAGATAAGTTTTCTAGAGAGATTTATATGAAACACTGTTAATTTAATTCCTGTCAAATCATAGAGTTCTTAGTGTAAGGGCTTTGTTTACAATGACCGAGATGATGACCAAATTGCTTGAGGAAACTCGGAAAGGTAAATGAATGGCTCCCACGTTTCCACTTGTTGAATCAGTGGTGCCAACATATCTTGGAGTCAACACACCTTGACTCTGGGAAGGGGGCATCAGTTATTTGCCTTATTGTTTTCTGTGCAAGGTACGTAAGAGAGCAATTCAGGAAGGGATTTCTCATCTCTCTGCCCAGGTTGGATGATAACAGGACACTTCTAAAAAAAGGATGCATTTAGTAGTTTAAACTGGAACTGAAAGCATCATCTGGACTAGAATTCAGGGGTAGATGCCTTGTGATGAAAAATAAGCAACACTCATTTACTGTACCAGTATAAGAATATAAACATAGCCAGTGGAGAGTCCCTCTGATTGTTCTGATTAAAATTTAGTGTCTATTTTTCAACCAATGGGAGTAATATTGTTTAATGATTCTTCATGTTTTGGTTCACTTCTTCTTTTGTAGATATATTTACGATTCCTGGACTATGAAATGCAGAATTCTAATGAATGCAAAAGGAATTTTGTGGCTGTCTATGATGGAAGTAGCTCTGTAGAAGATTTAAAAGCTAAGTTTTGTAGCACTGTTGCTAACGATGTGATGCTGCGTACTGGTCTTGGGGTAATTCGCATGTGGGCAGATGAAGGCAGTCGACACAGCCGATTCCAGATGCTCTTCACATCTTTCCAAGAACGTAAGACTCCAAGCACTCTATCTTTCAGTATGTTAAATGATACAAGACTCATAAACTGCTAATGGTGTTTTCTTCATGCAGAATAAGCACAGAAGGATGTTGCTTAACAAGCTAAATAAGTCACCAACACAATTTTTATTCCATATGTATTACACTTTGTGCTAATTTGTAAGAGAGTGGATAGAGTACAGGCCTGGGAGGTGGGAAGTCTTGAATTTCAGTTCTTACAATGACTACGTCTTTGATTCAGACAAGCTTCTTAATTTTTCCCTTTACTTAATACGGAGGAAGATATTGGGAGAAATTTGCTCTTTAGAAAGTGCTTTGAGATCTTAATATGAGCAGCACTGGAGAATTGCAATATTATTTTAACATACTTGATGCGTATGTCCTCATTTGCAATATTTATGTATGGTATTATCCTGCTAAGTTACAGGTCCATCCAACCTTAGATGTCTATTATATTAAAACAGTTGCAATACACTATTTGCTGTGGCCAACAATACAAAAGGGAATGATATAGTTAACATCATGTAGTTAGCCACCTTTGACTTTCCAGTACAAATGGCCAACCATCCACAAACATTTGTATCAATTGGGGTTTTCATAAGTCTGGTACAAAAATGAAGACCATGCCTCTAGGATCATAGCAAGTTGCTTTAACATGCTTGCCACTGTGGCCCACACCTGCCTAGCAAGGAAAACTTTGACTTATTTTTCATAATAGTGAAAAAGATTTAGAAAATATACATGACAAATTTCATTTTGAAAAACTCAGACTAAAATAATATTCACTTTAGGCAGCCCTCCCTCACAGTAATTTATAAAAAACAGCAATAACTTTCGGACTCAGACTTATTAGCAAAGAAAGAGTTGTTTCAAGGCAACAATGAGAACATCCTCCAAAAAGTTTGATTAATTTAAGCCAGTTTTGAAAGGAGAATAGGTTTTATTTGATTTAAAGATAATAAGATGTTTTTATTTCCTCAGCAAAGGAGTTTATGTTTATTTACAAATTCTGATTCATATTAACTTTAATATTGTTTTTACTCTTGTGGATCACATCTGATAGGCAGAGTACAGTGAAGCAAGTGATAAGTACTGAGGGGGAAGGGTGGGAGAATAGGGAACACCAATATGAGCAATAGCAATAATATGGGGCCACACAGTAAAAGAGGCGCAAGTGAAAGATATTTGATCTAACAGAAGGCCATCGATAGCTAAAATGTTCGACTTCTTGATTTGTATTCTGTATGTACTCTATGATGAAGCAATGAGACTTTGTTGAGATCAGCTTATGTGGTTCCTTAATTATGGCTCCGATTAAAAATTTGTTACACGGCCAAATGGCCTGGAACCGTGTATATCAGTTCTCAAACATTTCAGTCTTAAGGCCAGTCTGTGTTCCTCTTGTCTATAAATCATGCTAGTGTCTAAAATACAGTGAGAATCCTCTCTTAAGATGATAATGCTCTTTGCTTGATTCTGTGACTGGAGAAGTCTTGAATATTCAAGGTCTGATTCATAAAAAAAAATAAAATCTGGATACTGTTACCTTAGAAACAACTGCACAGGCATTGGGGGTTCATTGCATATAAAGAATTGAAGAGTAATGCATACTGTTCCATCTTGAGAGCATGGATTAAGCAAGTATATATTTGCAAATCTTTACTATTCAAACATAAGCTTTGGGACATTCAAACATTTCCCTGTAAAAGTAATGATTCAACTTATGAAGTTCCTTGTGCTGCAAAAAAAATATATGTGACCTTCTACAGCTGAGGCATTGACATCATCTCATAAGCAATAGCACTGGATATTAAGCATCATTATGACAAGGTATCGAATCTTTTCAGGGCATTTTAGCTTCTAATGTTCCTCTAAACAATTAGGCTGCTTAGAGATGTAGAAAAAATTCCCAAAATAGCACTTTACTTTCAGCTTGGCGCACCTCTGCATGTAGTGCAGTGCATGCCCACAGCAAATGCCCAATAGCTGATTGAATCAGCTATTAGATAAAAGTGCCAAAAGCCATGTTGAAGTATGTAATCTACACAGACATTGAGCAAGCTGGATCAAACTGTAAAGTGCTGGGTTTTGTTTTTTGTTTTTTTGGGGGGGGGTTGGGGGGGGGGTTCCACGCCTGTCAGTGGACTTAATGACATGCCAAACTTTTACTATCATAGTAGTAAGGACTAAATTCTGCCTTTAGGTGTCTACATACCTTTATAAATTTCATAGACATTAGGGCTGCAAGGGACCTCACAAGATCATTGGGTCCAGCCCCATACCCAAGGGGCAGGGAGTCAGCTAGGGTCAAAGGATCCCAGCAAGATAGACATCCAAATGTTTCTTGAAAGTGTCCAGAGTAGGTGCTTGCACCACCTCTGTGGGGAGTCTATTCCATGCCTTGGGGTCTTAGACAGTAAAGAAGTTTTTCCTTATGTGTAGCCTAAAGTGGTCTTTCAGGAGTTTTTGATCATTGGACTTTGTCTTCCCTTGGGGTGCCCTAGTGAACAGACATTCTCCCAGTTCCTGATGCAAACCCCTCATGTACTTATAGACTGCCACCAAGCTGCGCCCCCTGCCGAGCCTTTGCTTCTCCAGACTGAAGAGTCCCATGGCTCGCAGCCTCTCTTCATAAGGGCTGATCTCTTGCCCTCTGATCATGCATGTGGCTCTCCTCTGGACTCTTTCAAGCTTTTCCACATCCTGTCCGAATTGCAGAACCAAGAATTGGATGCAGTACTCCAGCCGTGGCCTCACCAAAGCTGAGTACAGTGGCAGAATAACTTTCTGGGTCTTGCTTGAGATGCATTGGTATATGCAAGCCAGAGTTTTGTTTGCTTTATTGGATACGGTATCACATTGGTGGCTCATGTTCATCTTGTGGTCAGTCATGAACCCCATGTCTCTTTCAGTCATGGTGCTAGCGAGTGCAGCACTGCTGAGCCTATAAGTGTGATGCAGGATTTTTCTCCTGAGGTGGAGCACCTTGCATTTCTCTGTACTGAATGCCATCAGGTTTTCATCTACCCACCTTGCAAACCTGTCGAGTTTGGCCTGGATCACCAGCCTATCCTCAAGTGTGGACACTCTTCTCCATAGTTTGGTGTCATCAGTGACCTTAGCCAGTCCACTTTTCACACCAGAGTCCAGATCATTTATAAATACATTAAAGAGTACAGGTCCAAGAATGGAGCCTTGGGGGATGCCATTGGTCACTATGTTTCCTATTGATTTGGTTCCACCAACTACCGCTCTCTGGGTACAACCTTGGAGCAAGTTCCCCAGGTCCATAAGGCTGTCAAGGCTGCAGTTCCCCAATTTTCCCATGAGGACATCACAGAACACCAAGTCAAAAGCTTTTTGAAGTCTAAATATATGATATCAACCTCTTCTCCTTTGTCCAGGTGATGTGTCACCTGGTCATAGATAGAAATGAGATTAGTCAGGCAGGACCTACCCACAAAAAAGCCATGTTGACTATTCCTCAGAATGATGCCTTTTGTTATCCTGTCATTAATGGCTTCTTTGATGATTTCTTCCAAGATCTTTCCAGGGATTGAGGTCAAACTGATTGGCCTGTAGTTTACCAGATCTTCCTTCCTTTCTTGAAGATAGGCACCACATTGGCTCTGTTCCAGCCTTCTGGTACCTCACCCGAGTGCCATGAGTTCTCAAATATCCTTGCTAGTGGCCATGCTATGATGTCAGCCAGTTCTTTTAGGACTCTTGGGTGCAACCAATCTGAACCAGCTCATTTGTGGGTGTCCAGCCTCTCAAGATGTTCCCTCACAAGATCTACACCAATGGTGGTCATATATTCACCCTTATCCTGGTGATCCTGCATCTTGCTATGCTGCATCTTGTCAGGCAGGGTGGTCTCTTTGGTGAAAGACTGACGAAAGTAATCACTAAACAGATTGGCTTTTTCCTGGGTGTCAGTTATCAGCTCCCCCATTTGGTTTATCAGGGATCTGGTGTTGCCCTTGTTTTTCTTTCTGACTTCTGACGTATCTGAAGAAAGACTTTTTATTGTCCTTGATTTGCGTAGCCAGTCGGAGTTCAGTTACAGCCTTGGCTTTTCTAGTTCGCTTCCTACCAGTGCAGACCTGTGCTGCATACTTCTCCTTAGTGATGTTTCCTATCTTCCATCCTTTATAAGCTTCTCTTTTTAGACACAGGAGATCCATGAGTTCCCTATTGAGCCAAGAACATTGCCAGGCCCTTTTACTACCTTTCCTATGGGCTGGAATGGGCTTCCCTTGTGCTTCAAGGATCACTTCCTCAAGGAGCAACCACTTATTGTAAACTCCCCTCCCTGTCAAATCATGGTCTCTCAGGGCCTCGACAACTAGGCTCCTGAGCTTATGAAAGCTAACTTTCCCAAAACAAGGACTTCTGCATTTCTGACTGACTTGCCAGCTTTGCAATGGATAGTGAAAGTGATCAACTTGTGGTCACTGTCTCCCAGTTTCCCTTCAATTCTTAGGCATTTCCCAGGGACAAGATGCCATGGCACAAGGTGTGCCACTGCTTCTTTTTCCTGGTGAAACAAATGTCTGTGCTTGTGTGGACATGGCCATTCAGTTCATTCAAAACCAAGAAAGAAGCAAACTGGAATTTCAGTAGTAGGGGCAGGTAGCATTTTGTTGTCATTCATTTTAGGCATTGATTCTATAGCTTAGTAAGGATTCTGTATTATTTTTAATGTGTTATACCCAGGTGAAAGAGTGGCAAAATCCATATAGTCTCATATTTTATTATGGTACAAGTTGTCATGAGTTGCTTTCACACAAGATCCTTTACTTAATGTGATACCAAAGTTTCAGTGTTGGAAAGACATGCAGGTGCTGGTAAAGTTGTTTGTTACAAAAAAGTCCATGTACTGGTTTTGGTCTTTGTGGAAAGAGGTTAGTAAGCAGCAGGATAGTTTGCTCTCTTTCTCAGAATCAATTCTTGAAGCAGAGTTGTTTTAAAAAAACAACACATTATGC